TCCCCATGCCGCAGGCTGCGCGGCAGGACCATGCACAGCACCTTCATCTCACTTTGTACTGACATCGCGATTGATATGGTGGGGATATATGGGAAGCAACACAAGCAAAACTGCCTACAATTGCGCATCTATTGCCCCTCACTCAGCAAATGTGGAGGGGGAGGGAGGGGTTCTGCGGCAATTTTTGAGGCTTCCTGGGGTTCCGTGAGGCCAAAAAGTTTGAGAACCTCTGGTCTAGAGTGCAAATTCTCTACGCGTCCGAAAGTTGACTGGGAAACGCGAGGGAATTGTATTGTCCCTCAAACTACTTTTAGAGCAAGTGAGTGTCCTGAGTGGGTTCTTTCGACATCTACATCAAAATGTGCCATATTAGATGGGGACATAAGCGCAAAGCGAATTTGCAACAGCGGGAGCTCGTGCGAGTTTGGCCGTCCATCAACTTGAAGGCTGTTAACTTCTGCGCTACTGCACAAATTTTCGCCTGCTAACACCGACGCACCACAAGACATTCACTAACAAAAAGGTTTGTGCTGCTGTCACGAAAACTGGGAAGACCAAATTGCTGACGTGGGAGGTGCAGTTAATTTAACTTTATTCGATGGCCCATGACACAAGACTGTCCAGAAAAATTACAACATACAGTGAGGGATGATTTTAGTGACACTGGATGATTCCTGTACCCCACCCTATAATGGTATACCTGTACCAATTTAATCTATATTGCAGCCGAGTTTTGAGCAGTGTGCATCTTTTGAACTTTCAAATGCATTTTTCTCATTTTGCAACTTTGGGTCGTCTTTTCCAACGTTTATAGATACTTTTTCAGTTGCATATCTCCTCAGTGCGCCCATAGGAAGGAGGCGGCCTGTCGCATTTCCCACCGCTGCAGCGCTGCAGTCAAGGATTGAGCTAAGAGATTGCGTGTCGTCTGCTAGTGGGCAGCATTACTTCCTCAAACTGCAGTCCGAATGCTATGCTTTGTTTGCGACTGTTCTCACGAGTTACTCTGTATTTAATTGCAGCGCTGTTGCGCGTAATTTAGCGTGCAGCAGGCGGTATTTCGCTGAGAGAAATGCAGTTACTCTATTTAATTGCAGCGCTATTGCACGTAATTTACCGTACAGCAGGTGGTGTTTTGCTGAAAGCAACGCATTTGTGTTGTAGCTTTGGCCAGAATGACTGCGTTTGCCCGCTCAATTTGACAGCCGCAAAAGGTAGGGACGCGTGAGGACTGTTCAGCTCAGATTGAGTTACCGCAATCGCCCCCCCTTTTTTCTTTTATTATTCTTCAGGATTGTTTAGTTTGTTTCCAAAATTGTTCAACATATTATCTTGCCTGATGTAATAATTAAAATGTCTATCCAAAGATCTTTGCTGTTTGCAGCATCAAAAAAAGTTTTACACTTTTTCTTTTTTTTTATTTGTTTCGCGGGTTAACCGCATAGGGGGCAGAGATAAAGGTGGGATGCCTGAAAGAGCCTCTACCCCGAAATATGTGATGTGCTTGCAAAAAATATTAAGGTCCATTTATGCAAAGATAGCATACTCAAACAGAGTCATTGCTTTTTAAAATAAATGCGAAAGATAAACTTTATTTAAATATGTACATGTCACACAGGATTGTTGACAGTTTTGTTAAGAGCCTAGTTCTTTACACAAGCTTTGCCCTTTTTCGTTCTCTTTGTGCCATCACTGCGCTGTCGTTATCTTGGCAGTTTGCTCTTGCAAAGAAGTGAATACGAGTTACAAAGTAAAAATTAATTTCAGTTGTAAATTGATTAGCGTGTTCAAAGTACTGAAAAACTATATTTCAAAGTACTGAAAAACATAGAGGTTTGGGCTGTTCGACATGACTTCAAACTGATTGTCCACTCCGATAGACCTACTTCCAGGAGGATGTATATAATCAGTTGAATTGATGTTATAATTGATGTTATAGCTGGTAGAACTTTAGCTTTTCATTTTCCTTCGTGAAGGCAAGGCTGGTTGGTAACTTGGCTTGAAAATAATTATGTTACAGATGCCATGTGACAGTATTGAGGATAAACAGATCCTACTGCGAGCTGCAAAATTTGCTAAAGTTAATCTCTCTGTTACTGCACGTATGAATCCCAGATTATGTGCACATATTCCAGAGACTATTCCAGATGACATTGACTTGGCCACTTTGCTAAAGAAGTGAGGGTGGGCACTCTTGTTCAAGCCTGCACCTGTGGGGATATAGGTTTCATGTAGCCAAACTTAAGGTTCTCCTACTGCAATGAGGCCTTGAAATTGGGCAAATCGGAACTTCCTGGGAAAAGGGATTCATAAGCGGAGGTTTGGCTACAAAAGAGAGTACCAGCGTTTTTTGTAGAACTTTTGTGGAAGCACTTTGATACCAAGGGAACTACAGAAAGGGGGAGAGTAATAGTGTCTTTATGCTATCGGCCACATTCAACCTGGAGAAACCAAGTTGCTTGGCAAAACATAGGCTTCTCCTCTGAAGCCTCCAGGTATTTGATTTTCAAGTTATTCCCACCAGCTTTGGCTATGCTTGTTTTTTGTTTGGACTTTTGTCAGGCAGCCCTTACCACGAGCATCCTAAATGAAGGCTTTGAAAATCAAGGTATAGCGATGTTTACGGAAGGCTTCCTATTGTAAAAGTAAGTGGTTAGTTTCAGCACTGTGAAGAGATCAATGCCCAGAGCAAAGCTTGATTTTTTGTTGAGAAGGTTACATCCTCATTAAAAAATACCATGTGATTGAAATATCACAGGAAAGCAAAGAACACAATTCAGTCTTAATTTTCTTGTGCATGCATTTTTTTTAGCTTTGAATATTCATACACAATGTGGGCTCTGAGCTCATTCCCCCAAAAAATGTTTATAGTTTAAGAATTGCGAGTTCTCAAAGTCGAAGGCAGTTTTGCACAAAAAAGTTTTGTTCCCTGGGAATATGTTTGAATGTTGAGGTGTTCTTTTGGGGGCGCATAAATTTAGGTCTCGCTTCATTCAGTTGCTATTTGAGACGGTAGCTTCGAAACAGCAATGACATTCCTGCGATAATATCAACGAAATGGGGATATTGGTTTTCAGCCTGTGTGAAAGCATTCTCAAGGCTCGTAAAGGCATACAGTTTGGTTCATCATTCTGCCCTCCGCTGCTCCCAACCCATTCCATTAGACTTCTAGCTCGTCTGATGCCTTCATATCTTTCTGGAACCGCTGGTCACTTGACTCTTGTCTGGTATCTAGTATATGAGCGATTACTGGAGGGCCGGTGGAGGCTAAGTGGGGCTCTCACTCCCACACACTACCCAAGTAGGTACACATCGTTCTTGCGGCTGCCCCTGCAGGTGATAACGCAACAGTTTGTGTCGTCAGAGATGGGTCCAAAACTACTTCACACCTGGTGCTGGCCTTTGTTTTTGTTGATAAAGAGAAACAGAAGAACACACTAGATATGTTGGTAAGACTAGCTTTCTGGCTAGTCAGATGTGCCACAACTGCGATAGACTATAGGTGGTGTGATATTAGTGCAGGTGAGCTAGCAAGCTTTGTGAAGTCCACAATGTTTTCACATATCTTGTGAGGTCCAGTGTAAGCAGGATTACCTGCTTCTTAGATCTTATTTGAAAAATAATTGTAGGGTAAAGTCAGATATTACCTATACTTGAAAGTTTACTGGCCCCTAGGATGTGATTCAAGTTAGCGAACTTGCAATCTGTAGGCCGACAGTTTGCTTCGGGTCTCCAAGGCCCGTTTGCTCGAAGCGCTAACCACGGCTAAAGTTAGTCGCAGTACCTAGGAGAGGGATTTTGAAATCACGTGACTGGCTCGGTAGGGATGCGGGGAAACATGGCGGTGCCCCGGTGAGTGAGCGCCGCTCGCTTCAAAACGAATATGTCGTAGTTCCAATATTGGGCGCGTCAGTCAGCAACGAATGGTGCAGGAGGCTTTCGCTTTGCCTTACCTCTTAAATCGCAAAGCATGAGCAATGACCTCGTCGCATTTTTTAGATAGTCTTTCGAATCTGGCTATTCCCAAGCCTAAATGAACGCGATAATTGTCGGCATGGCAACGTCTTTGGAAAGTGGATTGCCTTGACTCAATCGGCTGGGTATTGATAGCACACAAAAGCACACAGCGTTCCCAAGCACCGAGGTGCATGCTACGAGTAGTTCCACGCATTCCATGTGCTGGCGTCTGCAGTAGTAATTGTTCTAAAGCAAAAAGTCTAAAACAAATTTTGCCTTGCGTGTGGGTTCGTCGAAGCCTTATTATGATTATTTACTTTGAATCTTTTATAAGAGGAAGGCCACCGCACACGGGCCGTAGAATTACACTTCCAGCGTTCTCCTCGATGCTTGGTTAATTTAGAAAAAGGTCTATTGGGATGCTGTCTGCTTTTGTGTGCTCTCAATACCTGGCCGATTGAGTCAAGGCAATCCGCTTTCCAAAGACGTTACCATGCCGACAATTATCGCATTCATTTAGGCTTAGGAATGGCCAGAATCGAAAGACTATCTAAAAAATGTGGCGAGGTCATTGCTCATACTTTGCAATTTAAGTGAGGTAAGGCAAGGCGAAAGCCTCCTGCACCATTCTTTGCTGACTAACGTGCCCGATATTGCAGCTACAACGACATATTAGTTCCGAAGCGAGCGGCACTCACTCAGTGGGGCACCGCCATGTTTCCCCGAATCCTTACCGAGCCAGTTGCGTGATTTCAAAATCCCTCTCCTACGTACTGCGGCTAACTTTAGCCGTGGTTAGCATTTTGAGCAAACGGACCCAGAAGACTGTGGCAGTTCCAGCTGGGTCCCAGGTGTCCCTGTTTTCTTTTCTAGTGTGTGTGGTGTTCAACCAGTGTAGACATGCCTCATCCAATAAATATTTAGCTTGTATGCCAAATGTCTTTTGTTGGGCAGACAGATTGGTGGGCGGAGCCCATATTTCCGGAGGCGTAAGGCACGTCCTGGGTGAGGGTTGTGATTTCTTCTGTCTTTTCTTGCTGCAGTATCTGGTCGACCAGCCCGACTTCTACGTGGTGGGAGTCGTCGGGATGCAAGGTTCTGGAAAATCGACCGTCATGTCCATTCTGTCAGGGCAGTATGGACAAGCGGGCGAGAGGCATGTCCTGGTCTATTATTAGCACTTTTTTCAGATACTTTCCACCTTGAGTGTTACCTCTCCTAGGAAGCCTTTGGGGCGCCGCCGATAGACTCGGTTGCTTTGCAACGTAAAGCACAAATATTTTATTTTTTTAAACATTTTCTGGACCTTATGTTTTGTTTTGCCTTCTTGTAGATGGGAAAAGGGCTAATTTACAATCTTTTCGTTCACCAAATTCTGGGTGAATGGAGGTGCCTGGAGCTCATATTGTTTGCAGAGTGGAGCCACAGAGATTTGTCACTCGGGCTGAAATTTTATCTAGTTACAACTGCAGTTACATACAGTAGAACCTCATTGATACGTTTTTCAGGGGATCGCGGGAAAAAAACATATCATCTGGGAAAACGTAACAACCGATAACGCGCTTAGGGGGCTCTACATAAGATAGAAAGCAGCTCTTATACAATGTTTTATTTTATGCTTACTTACAGAACTGTTGAGGGTTCAGACATGTTCACAAAAGCACGTAATATCCGCCTGCCACTTCGAATTAATGTTAAGCAATAAAAGCTCTTTCTCCTGGAGCCGCAGTACTCTCTCACTCTTTGCGCAGTCTGAAGTACAGGGTGTTTCTCGAAAAGTGGACAAATTTGATATTGCGAAAACTACTCATCACAATGAAAAAAGACTTGTGTCATTTTGGTCCTGGGCCAGGGGCCTATCTGGTAAAATGATTAAAGTCTGGAATAATTATATTGTTAATTATTTTCATGTAATTAACTTTTTTAATATTGTGTTTAAGGGCACGGTTTCAATTAGAAAATTGCTCAGCATCATCAAAAACACTAAATCAACAAATTGCAGAACGATAGAAGGCACGCGCAGCATTTTACGGCTTTCTGGAAAAACGCGTACATTTGATGGATTTTTAAGACAGTGCAGCAGAGGTTGGTTGCACTATTTCTCCATGGGGCCCGGTGCACTCGGGGCCGAGATGCGCTCCGATTACAAACCGAAACTTAAAAACCCGTTGAACTTGTGCGGTTTTTCAGAAAGCCTCAAAATGCTTTGCGTGCTTTCTATCGTTCTGCAAATTATTGATTTAGTGTTTTTCAAATGATGCTGAGCAATTTTCTAATTGAAACCATGCCCTTAAACACAATATTAAAAAGTTAATTGCGCAAAAATAATTAACAATCTAATTATCCTGGATTTTAATAATTTTCCTAAATGGGGCCCTTGCCCAGGACCAAAACGACACAAGCCCTTTTTTGTCGCGATGCATAGTTTTCACAATATCAAATTTGTTCACCTTTCGTGAAACATTGTGCATATCAAACTTATTTTTATAACAGAGTGCCTTCCTTTTTTGCGATGCCATGACCGTCGTCAATGGGCGGTCATGGCCGAAAGATCATGGCTCACGCAATCGAGTGGAACAGAAACTAGAAGCGCAGCGTGCATGTGGGCGCACGGCGCACCTCGTGCCAGAGAAAGAGAAGGACAGATGAAAGAGAGAGCGAGAGAGAACGAGCGTTTGCCGCCTCGCAGCCTCGCTCCCCGTCCTAACAGTGCTCCAAGGTCACACCAGGGCAAGATGGGAAGCTGTGGCAGAGCTCAGCAAAACCCAGCCCCCCAGCGAGGAGACAGAAGGACGGGAAAGAGGGGGAAATGAGTAAAGACGGGCGTCTGCATGCCCACGTGTGCCGTGCGACTCGCATTGCATGGTTCGGCTTTGCTCTGCTAGCTTTGCTTTGAAGCCAGCGTGGCAGCATGGTGCCCGGCGCGCCGAGGCGCTGCTACGCCGACACTTTTGGACAGTAACAGGCAGGAAACTAATACATGTATCTCTGTGGAAGTAAAACAGGACCTGCCTTTTTGAACGTAACAGCCGGGAAAACGTATCAACCGAGAACGTATCAACGAGCTTCTACTGTAGTTACAAATGGATCCAGTTGCAGTTAATCTTACTCACATAAAGTTACTAAGCTACGTGCCATTCACTTTTAAATTATTTTGTGACATTGAGGAGTAATGGGATTGCTGGCCAAGGGCTCACTTTTTAGCATAGAAAAAAATATTTGCTCCAGTTGTGTTTAAATTCAGCACTCTACTCGTGGCAGAAATTTGGACAAGTACCTAGTGCTGATGTTGAGGCTGAATGACTGCAAATTATTGGTCAACATCAGGGGTCTCCAAACCCCGCCCCTGGGCCAGACACTGCCCACAGAAGTCTTTTGACTGGGCCGTGACTGGCCGCCGTTTTTCCAATAAAGCCCGGCCTGCAACGTGCTTCGCTAGCAGTGCAAAAGTAATTGTGCGTAAAGAAACTGCACCAAAACGCACTCCAGATGCGCAAACTAAGATACCAGAAAGAGTGAGAGAAACTGCATTGTAACGCGTGTGCGTTTGCCATATCATTAATTGAACATTGTCATCACCAACATTACCATTGTTATACTCCGTTTCACAATAACTTGGCAAACTGTGGAGGCTGCGGCCCTTGCGACCCAGTAAGGGTGCCGGGGCAAGGCATGTGAAAACACTCCATGGTCGAAGTCACCGGGGCTATGTTACCGGGGCATCATGGCCATTGGCGATCACCGGTGATCGCAGCCGTGTAATCGGCTGTTTCCGCTCAAAATATTACACTGTGCCCTGGCATTAGTACCCGTCACAGATCCACGGCTAAATTGAGCGTATGGTAGTCGCATGAACTGTTCCCAAAGTGCTTGCTATTCTAGTGGACGGATATGTTGCTGCGATGGACGTTCATCTGAAGGTGCTTGGTTTCAGAGCAGACGACAGCCGGTTCCTCCAGGCCTTGCGCCTCGCATTTGGCGCGGTGACAAATGTTCCCATGACGTCGGATCACGTGCCTCACTCCGATGCTCTTATTGGGTCGCGGGACCCTAGCCTCCACAGTTCGCCAAGTTATCGTGAAACGGCGTACAGTCCCCTGCTTCATGTCTGTGTATCTGTGTTAAAATTTTATTGCAGTCTTATATACATTGTACTTAGTGTCCTCTGTCACAACTATTGCATATTTTTATAATTAATTTTATAATTCTCATTAGTGTTTTCCACTGCACGAATGTGCCTAAGTTTCTATGTGCCTTGCTTTATGACTGGTGAGTTTTCTTGGCCACAGGTATTGTGTAATGTCGTAATTAGCTAAATCTAAAATTTCCAATCGAAGCATATTCACCTTAGGAGATTTTTAATTCTTACTCTAACATTCATTTATCCATTTAAATGGTTATCTAGGTATATTTATATAGCTTTTCTTCGTTTGTGAGTATTATTTTTTCCCCGGCCCTCGAGACTGCGACAGATGGCCAATCCGGCCCCTTAGCCGAAACGTTTGGAGCCCTCTGGTCAACATAATCTTTAAAAGTATCTGTACCTGAAAAAGTTACTCCAGAGATGTAACTGTACTGAGTTACAGCTGCACTTACTCAAATTTCATTCCAACTTGTTAAATATCTTGCTAGTAAAATCATATCTGATTACCATGTCTCAAACACTTTTAATTGGTACTACTCTGGCGTCTGTCGCCAGAATAACTGTCAGTGCTATTTTCGAATCTGTGAAACTATAAGTGGAAAAAGTTAAGCTAGTTTCATTTTAATGGGCCAGCACTGTTAAAACTACCCACCAAGATTGTGACAACTCGTAGCATTGACCGGCGGCTTCTGTCACATATTTTATCCAAATGTCTAAGCGAGGGCGCTAATCGCAGCAGTTGAGGACACGTTCCATGCACCATGCTTTTTGCTCATTGGCACCCGACAACCTCGAGGAAGTCATGATGAGCTGCTTGTCCTGGATTGTCTTTGCAGGCAGTTGTTCAGGCCACAGAGCCGAGAGCTTCGTGAACTGGGCCAGCACTGCACCACGGGGGTGGACATCTACGTCACTCCGGAGAGGATGATCCTCCTCGACACACAGGTCCGTTCTCAGTGCTAGGTGCATTCTCGGAAAAGTTCTTGCAGGCGGCCCCAATTTGCTTGGAAAAGAAGGATATTACACTTTGATGTAACGCAACCCTGAGATTGCTGGTACGCAAAGAACGACCTATACAGTCGCCAACCGATTTTTTTGGATGCCAATCATTCGAACTTGTTCAATATTTCGGACCTAAAGGAGGAACCGTGACCTACTTGATAGAAATAGTGCGTATTCACGACCAATGTTTCGGACAGCTTGAAGTCCGAAAGCGGGAAACGCCATTGAGAAGCTGCAGTTTTAGATTCTGTGTTGGCTGCACATGAATTGGCTTGGTTTGGCAGCGCTACTTAAATACGGCGAAGTCCTACTGCTACGTGGCGCTGTACGGCTTTTTTTAGGGGCGAAGCTCCTTAGGGTCTAGCCTTCTCCGGCGCCCGTGCTCACATCAATTGCACTGCCTCTGGTTAAAAAAAGACGTACGCCCGCACAGGGGTTCGAACTCTGACCGCTTGCTTACGAAGCCGACGTCTTAAACACTACGCTACACTCCAACGTTGCATGTAGCTGCTCAATTAACGTCTATACAAGAGAGGGCACTGCGGTCAAACGCATATATAATCGCGTTAAACTTATTGGCTTAATGTTTATGGACAAGAGGGCGCTGCAGTCAAATGCTCAGCTGCGTATATAACCACGATCTTGAGGTTCGCAGTTGCCGTTGGCCTTCAGTGTCGAGCAGTGGTTTGCGATGTAGCACGACGGCGTTGCTCTAGCATTGCTCTTGCCCTTGCAGCCGGTGCTCAGTGCCTCAGTGATGGACCACATGATCCAGTTTGAGAAGAAAACCCCAGGGGGAGGGGACTTCCACTCCCTGGAGAACGCACACATGATGCAGGTGGGTGCCTTGCCCAAACATTTGATCCATCCCCCTCCCCACCTTCGTGTGAGAGCTACTCTAGTTTGACTTGTTTGTTTTTTATTAATTTATTACTCGGTGCCTGGCTAAGAGCTTAAAAGCTCTTGGCCAGGCACTACATAGCGGACAGTAAAACAAAGAACACCTAAGCAACACAATTAAGGCATTCGACTAGAGGGTGCTAGTCCAATGACACGTCAAATAACTTCGACACGTCGGTAAATTACGGGAAATATGTGCGGCGTCACATGTACCATTAAGCTTTATAAAATACAACTGAACAAGGGTGAAGACAAATAACACAAGAGCCATTCCACTCTGAAAGTGGATGACCAGCAAAGCTGTTTAGCACACGACACAGACTTGCCTTGAGGAGCCGGAGGAAACTAGACATGCGCATTGGGACAGACACCCGGCGGAAAGTAGACACTTGCGACGGGACCACCACCCTGAAAGAGTGAAAGGAAAGAAAACTAGGCATGCAAGCACATGGAACGACGACGAAGAGGGGGCGGTGCGAGCGTAGACATGGCCGACGTGGGTCGCACGGCTGGATATCTTTGAGAAACCTTTATTATCTACCTGAGATTCTACTGATCCTAAAAATGGTGCCTATTGATAACTATTCTACTGAATAGACCTATTGCTAAATTACCTAAGTAACAAGGAGAATGCAGGGAATGGTGTTCCACGTGCCGCACATGCCGGCGTCTGCAGCAGTAACTGTTCTAAAGCAAAAGCCTAAAACAAATGGCATCTTACACATGCATTTGTGAATGCTCTATTTTGGTTATTTACTTAGAATGTTTTATAGATGGAAGGCGTGCGCGTGCGGCGGTGTGAGTGTCGAGGTTTTGGTCACAGACACAAAAACTCCATGGCACACTAGCCATAGACAGCGTCGCTGTAAAAAGAAGTCTCCCCTTTACCATACTAGCATGGCAAAGGCAGTGGTAACACAGAATGTGATGTGTCAGTATGCAAAAACTGCACACATGTGGAGACTGGGTGGCACAAAGCGGCCGTGTGTTGTGCAGAATAAGCGCCTGATCACTCCGTGAATTTCTTATTTGTGACTGCCACCTTCTACGGTTGCACTGTAAATGTGGCTTTCTTAAAGCCTGTTGCAGTGGGGGATGCAGTAGACGGAGCGTGCAGAAAACAGAACAAATGGAAGGTGACAGCGCCGAGCAGAGCCCTGGAACCAGTTCGCAGCAAAAGACAACGAAACATTCAGAACTACCTTGATCCATTGCATTCCATTAACCTTTTTGCTTTTTCTGTCACTCTCTTTTGCACTCTTTCTCTGGGGAAGCCTGTCGTGTGCTCATTTCACGGAGTAGAGCACCGCGGCATACCTGGACATGTGATGCTTTCAGGGTGTCTAGTGACCGGGAAAACCGGAAATTGTCAGGGAAATTTTAATTACCGGGAAAAATGTGGGAATTTCCAGGGATGTTGTCAAAAAGCGAGCCCAGTCAGGGAAAACAAGCCGGAAATGCCATTGAGTGTCGTGAGCAAAGACTTGAGGACTTGGGTGCAGAAAAATGGGCAATAAATTCTGCTTAGAGCGGAGTACAGGCTCTGCTCGCCCAATGTAGAGTGCGCTACCCGATGCAAAGGGAGCAGCCGACAAACCCAGTCCAAGCCTTGGATTGGATTAAATTGAGGGCGCAACACTAGGCTAAATCCAGTTAGAGCTACTAGATTTAGTAACAAATGGGAAAGCCACAGACCCCAATCCAATCGAAGCCGAAAGTATCCGAAAGTATCCATTTGGCGGCCATGCTGCCATTCGGTTAACAACAATGTGTGTGTCGTTGAGCGTCGTGTTTTTATTGTGTTTCTGGAAGTGGCCTCTTCACTGACGATGTCGACGGCAAGAAAGTGCTCAGTTAATCCGGACTGGACGACCCCGAATATTTTGGAATATGAAAGTTAGATTAACCCCAAGCAAAATGATCCTCACAGCCCTACCGAAAAATCCGGTATAACTTTTCGCTATCCGGATTATGGAACCGGAAATCTATCTGGATTCTATCTGGACTCTATCTGGAATTTAGGTTTTTAGAAATTATTCCTTTGTTTTCAATCTGGATTTTGGGTTTCCAGTAACAAATTTCCGGTTCCATATTCTGGATAGGGAAAGTTATACCGGATTTTTTGGTAGGGAGTGCTCAATGCCTTGCGTTGTAATGGTCTTATATACTTGACCGGTGGTCAGGGAATTTCACCTGAATTTGTCAAGGAAAACCTGGAAAAGTCAGGGAATTTTAAAATAGTAATTCGCTAGACACCCTGTGTTTTACCCCCGCCGGGAATAATAAGGAGGCACTCGACGAAGGGTTTTGGCTGGCACTGGTTGTTAGTCAGTGAGAATATGATCGCTGCTTAGCGTTCAGCTGGCAGTCGGCCTGTCTACTTTCACAGTGTGACACCTAATCGGATATGGTTAGGTGGCATGCACCACATTTTGTGTTAAAAGACATCAAACACTGGAAGCAAGGTTATATAAAATCTATATCAATGTGAATCGCCAGGTGCTCATTTTTTTGTATGTAGACATATTGCCGGCTCCCTCTCACGACCTGTCGCAGGAGTGAGAAGAGCTTGTGATAGAAGAAAAATAATGCTTTTATTGAAATAGACAAAATATACAGCAGTTTGATACGGGCCGATACTTGAATACGGCGATAAAGGAACTTAATTGAAAACATTTTATGGAGCGATTCCAGGATACATGGGGATTATTGGCAGCAACAGTTTCCCTGAGAAGACAATTCCAGACCCTAATGGCTTTAGATAAGGCTTAATTGTTGAGGGAGGGTGTGGACCTAGAGCCATGCATGCGCGCTGACAGATGGTTGGCACGAAGTTGAAGAGGGAATAGCCCTTCTCCCACAAGAACTAAACCCAGAGAAGTGCCAGCATTGAATGGATGTAGAATTGCAGAATTAAAGCACATCCCTAGCCTAAGTGCACTTGGGGTTGTGGTAGAACCACTCGTTTATGTATTACTGTAAAACCCTTTACTTTCACGTCCCCAATTTTTTGTGAATTGGGCAATGAGGTTATATTCGTAACCATTAAGTTTTGTGAATTCTAAAAGCTGGAATTCACCTCTTTAGACCATAGAAATATTGGCGCCCCCTAAAGTTTGTGGAGTTTCACTGTCACAAAATTCGTGAAAATCAGGGGTGCACAAACATGAGGGCTTTTGCAGTATTTTAAGCTCTTGTTGTTTTTACATTTGTCCTTGACATCCTTCTGACAGAACATAGGCCACAAGAGAAAAATCTGTGCATTTAAACTTTGCAAGTAGGCAGTTGGCATCTTTTCATTACCGCATTATCGCCAAATGAAGAAACAAAGCCTGGTCAACAGGAAGGTGACAGAAATATGTGCCAAATATGGTAGGCTGCAACGAGAATTGGGAAAGGTCCCAGTCATGCGTTTTCGTGGTTTGACTTATCGGACAATATCTGTTGCTCAGTTTTTTGTTCAAACTTTGGTTGGTTTATTGTGGCAGTTATCAGGGGACTGTCAGTTGGACACTTGGCAAGAAAGTTGGCGAGGTCGCCAAATAACGCCATTATCCAGCGCGCTGTGCTGCGATTGGCCAGCACCGAGGTGAAGTGTGGCACTGCCATAGTGCGGTGGTCCGCAATCTTGCCAACTTTTTCGTTGTGTGTCCAACTTGCAGCCCCTGCTCAGCTTTGTGGAAATTCCATTTTGTGTTATTTCTTGATCTGCGCTGACCAGATTCACATGTGTTTTGACTATATGTCTCATCAGAGTCCTAATATAGTTAGGAAGGCCTCCATGGCTGGATGCAGAAATTTGCAAAATATTGTTGCTACCCAGGTGTACACAAAGCGTGCAAATCCAAATTGGAATCCAGGGCCTTACACTTGTGGTATTATAAACTCTTAATCAGGTCACAAAAAAAAAAATAGTTTATAAAGTTGCCAGTTTTGTTGCAACAATATGGCAAGTTGTTATAAAGAAAAAACTTTAGCCCCTAGAAATGAGCGATTGAGGCGGTTCTTTTTCATGGCTTGACGTGACTCGATATTTCAGTCTCTGCAAATGGCTTCCTTCCTGATGGCTGTCTGTCACACCGTTGTGGTGGTTCAAGACTGGTTTGCCGATCCCAACTTTTTGAGGTGAGAAACCCTGACCCTTTGGTCTTCTTGGTACCATCAAGTTTTTTCATTACAGTAGAGTCTCATTACTACATTTTTCATGGGACTGCTGTAAAAGAAAATTTAAAGGAAGATCCATAGGTGGTTCTCTAGGGAATGCGTTTACATGACCCTTGGGAAACGCTAAGGCTGACTCCTTCACTTTTCTGTTTTCTTTCTCTTTTGCTTCCTCTATTTTTTGTTGCCTCTTTTTGGCTTCGTTACGGGGTCAGTGTTAGCATTTCCCAAAGGAGGATGTTTGCGGCGTTCCCTAAGGATTCATCAATGGATCATCGTTTAATTTCTTTCCGCCGAGGTGGGCTCACTGAGCCCGCTTCGGCAGAGGGGGGAGTTACGCCCCCGCCTCTGTCACATGCAGACCCACTTCTGCTTGCCGCTCCTTGCGCCGCATTTTGGCCAGCCGAGCCAGGCACTGCTTCCACTCCTCTGTCTCGTTCACCTGCCTTGCACGCTTATCAGCGGCATCTGCTGCCTTACACTGCTTTCGCTGTTTACCAGTTTCCTGCACGCGCATTGGCTTCCGCCTCATGACGTCGCCTCCCCCTCGCCTTTGTCCTTCACTACTCCCCTCTTCTCTACGTGGTGTGCTTCCCTTTGAACTGTTTTGTACACAGACGGATGGCAACAGCTTTTCGCTTTCATGTAAGTACTAATGCTAACACATTAAAAAACAAAGTTATGATCAGGAATAACGTATCAACCGATAATGTTTTTGGGGGCCTACAGAGGAGATAGGAAGCAACTGACAAAGAAATTTATTTTGCATGGACTGTCACGGCTGCAGAAAACATTTACTCAAATACAAGTCGACTTTTCTTTTACAGTGGAGCTGTTAAGGGCTAGGTTCCCCAGGACCGTGTCCGGTATGTCGACACGAACGTACCTGGACAGCTACCGCCATCTATAAGCGACGGCGGCAAGCACACAACCAGTATGGTTTCCGCCGTTGCTCGTAGATGGCGCTAGCTGTCCAGGTATAATAGAAGAATGGATATTTGAGCGCGTCGGTGGGAATTCATCGTAAAAAACAGCGCAAAAAACAGACGACAACGAAGAAGCACACAGTGTATCGAGTACAGCTCCGCTGGTCTTCCTTCTTCACGAGAGTGGAAAGGCTGAACCATTTTTTAGGGTTGCTTTTTTTCTTTTTTACAACTGCTCTTTTGTTGTGTATCCATCCATCTGCATCCATCCATCCCCCCCCCCCCCCTCTTTCGTGGGTGCGCTGGCTTGGCGGTCTGCCAGCCCCGCAACGCAAGTTGCCGCCGGCGCAATCGGAGCGGCGGCTGTGCTTTGTTCTTCGCTATATCAAGTGACCCCGCCATGGGAGGCCATGGGAGTTCAATACGAAAAAACAACGCTCCTATTTTTTTTTTTTTTTTCAGTGCTGTTATTTAAAATTAGAGGCTGTTATTTGAAATTTATAAGTGTAGCCAAATAATTTCAACCTCAAAAGGCTCGTTCACTCACTTGCAACAGGTTGCGACCTCTTACAACAAGGGGACACACTGGCGTCATTTGTGAGGTAGCTGTGGAACACTTGCGATACCCATATGTTTCCAAGTTTTTTCGTGCATCATTCCTTTTTATAGCAATGGCTGTTATGGGCTCTTCCCGCCACCGGAAATGACACGTGTTGTTGATTTCGTAGTAGTAGCTGGAGTAGTAGTTGTTGATGTTGTAGTTCGCAATGTAGGGCATCCGTCGTCGATGTTGCAAAATCCTTAAAAAAAAGGTTGCCTGCCGCCGTCGGCGAAAATCGATCCGGGGTCCGCTGCATGCGGAGCGGAAACGTTACTACTGAGCTGTGCCACACAGTTAAGAAGCTGCTTTAAACATATGGGATTTGTAACATGCACGTGCTCTGTGTAAAAAAGTTGAGAGCCCTTCCACCCCATGAAGGGGGTAGTCCAGTGAAGCTGGCGTTTTGGTGGGATTTGCTTTGTTGGGGTTTAGCTATATTGAGGATTTACTATGTTATGGTTTGGCACCGCGGTGATATGCGTCGTGCTTGCGTTTGGCTCCTCTCGCTTGATCATTGTCGGTGGCATTGGCTCGATGGCACTGGTTGAATTGACGCCGTTGCTCGCGTCAGTGCTTGACGCGGGCAATGTCTTTGTCGAGGAGAGCTTGGTCGGCGCTAGGGTTGCCGCGAACTTTTTTCGAATCGAAGTTTCGATGATCAAATCAAGCGGTTCGAAAGGTTCGAAAGATTTCGATTTTTCGAATTGTCTATATCGTAAAATTCGACGGAGGTCGAATTTTCGAACTTGTTAAGCTAAGAAGTTCGACGCTTTTCGAATTGTCGAACTTATTACGCTAAAAAATTCGATCTTTTTCGAACTTTCGAATTTATTGCGCTGCAAGGTTCGATGCCTGTCGAACTTTCGAACTTCACTGACCAAAAAATTCGATGAATTTCGAACTTTCGAACTTATTTATCAAGAGAATTCGAAAAGTTTCGAACTTTCGGATTCTGAAAAGTCAGAAGTTCGACGAACTTCGAACTTTTAGGGTAAAAGTTCGACGTTCGTCGAACTTCGAAAGACCGGCGGGCGGTTTCATTTGATTTCAAGTAGTGGGGTACATTCGTAATTTTTTTTCTCGAACTTTTACACGCGGTGCTACGTTCCTTACGAAAGACAATGTCGTTTATTTCAATGTTCTGGCATGCTTAGGTTTAAAGAAATAAATCCCCGAAGGGGCGAGGAAGGACGACGGGTTTTTGACGATTATCGTTTGTGCCAGATTTGAAGCACACTGCAGCCGGAGCTGTTTATGGTAGATATGTTATACTTTTTTTAAGAATGATCTATGTATAGCCTAGGTAAGTGCCGTCTTAAGATGTGATTATTGTTATTCAACGTGAGTTTTGAAGAAATGTCCAAACATGTATCTGCATGCAATTATAACCTAAACTTGATATTTATTTTTGTCTAAGTTGTTTGAGGTATCGCATTTAAATTAACACCACAGACAGTACATATCATTGCCATCTGCAGAATACGAAATAATATATTTATTGTTTTTTCACGTTAAGGAATAAATTAACTCATGGGAGAAGATTTCTAGTAGTGTTCAAGTTCAGCATGTCATTAAAAGAAAACTTTTTTTTTTTTCGCTTCACGCTCCTGGGATGTGTTTCTTTTAGCCTGTACACATTTTGGTAAAAGAAACTTGTTTCGAAGTTCTGAACCTCTGAATATGCAAGAATAGAACACTTCCGAAGAATTCTTGGTAGTTTTTTTTTTTCTCCTGCTTTTTATTCCCGCATTTATTTTTATTTTTTTTTGTTACTATCGGCACAGGTGTTTAGGTCGAAAAGACAGCTTTGAACTTCCGAACCACTAATCATGTGACGAGCAGTGCCTTCTGACGAGTTTCTAACAATGAACATCTACGCAACCTTTTATGCAGTGAAGAGCGACAGTAGCTATACATATGCATAAATAATTTCAGATTAAAATAAGCTCGACCACGCCCTCTTTCCCCGTATTGTTTTCTTTAACAGTTCGAAATACCTGCAAGGGGGAGAAGGAGGCTGAAGCCCCCCCCCCCGCTACCCTCTTTCCCCCCGTTTTTCCTCTTCTGACGCCACTTGTATGGTAGAACGCTCCTCGACCTCGAGTTGTGCCGGCTTTTGTGCTTTTTGCGAGGCGATTCCTCCGTCCCAGAAAATAAACCTCCAGGACAATTATAAACTTCACCGGATCGGATTACTACCAGCGTGCAAGCGGTGGCGAGGTAGTTTGCCAGGTCGCTTCAAGGTTTTTCTGAGCCTCAACCTTCTGCTCGCCCCTGGCCGTTTCGAACTGGATGAGTCTCGTAAAACAGTGTGTTCGTGTAATCACTCCTGCGTGATGCAGGTTAAAGACCCCCCGGGGCTGGCGGTCACAATTCTGCACTGGCAAATATTTTAGCACGTCCGGGACACTCGTCGTCTCATTTAATTGCCTGACCAACTTCGCAGAATCTAGATATCACACCCTAACTTTTCTAAACTTGATTTTGTGAAAACCAGTGAGTCGTGAAAACGTTATTTGAAACTGAAACTGTGGAAAAACTTGAAAATCGGACTTCGAACTTTGAAAACTTGGATTAGAAAGAAATTCAAAATATGCAAAGTTTTCCTTTTTTTTTTTTTTAATTTAGCATTAAAAGAGAATCGAAACCTTCAAACTTTTCGAACTTCATGCAAAAAGAAATTCGAATTCTTCGAATTGTTCGAACTTCATGTCTATAAAAATTCGAAACGTTTGAAGTTTTCGAATTTTGTTTACAAAGAATTTCGAGATCTTCGAATTTATCGAACCTGAAGTAAAAAAATATTCGAAATATTCGAATTCGAAATTTTGGAAACCGTGAAAGCTTCGAAATTTTCGAATTCGATACTCCGCTGTGGTCAAAAGTTGCGAATTTTTCGAAATCGAACCTCGGTCGGTACGAAAGTATCGAAATTTTTCGAAATCGAACCTCAGTTCGCTTTGCAAATATCGAAACCTTTCGAAATCGAACCTAGGGTGGTTCGCGACATCCCTAGTCGGCGCTCAAAGTTGTTGTTTGGCTGGGAGCAGCGGCAATGGCAATTTCACGTTGGCGGCGTGCCCATTCTCGCTTCTGGGCGTGCCGACACTCCTCATACTCCCGTTGCTCCTCTTTGGAACGTACAACACGGGTGCGACCCATGTGAAGTCTGAAGTCCAACTGATAAGGACAGTGGCACGATCTCTACGTCATTGACAAAAGACACGCACGATTGGAGGTAGAGACAATGACGTTTTATTATAGCGCGGCTACGCCAATCACGGTGCAGGCTGTAATGCGCCGTACAGGTGGCCGCCGAAGAGCGGGCAGCATTGCGCAATGTCAGGGGGGAGAGAGACGCCGCGCCTGGCGAGGAGTATGCACGATTCGGGAATGAGGCGGCGGCGGTGGAGAGGAGTATAAAGTGGGCCATACAT